CACCGCATACAGATAGCCATTTTCGTTAATGGAGTTGCTCGTGTGCCTGCAAGACAGACCATTAGCCCCATTTACAATCAAGTAGCTTTGTAATAACATGTTCTATTTAAATTGTATGCTTTAATAACTTACTTGACTATTATCACTAAGTTACTTATTAGACATTCGTAGTAGTTCCATAGTCTAGCTTTATATTTCTACATAAGCCAGTTGATCTTTCAATGCTGGACTTTTTCTTACACTCAATTTGTGACTCTGATCTGTTCCCAAAATAAAAAAACGTAGCCCGCCCTCTTTCTTGTCGATCCGAATATAGCGGAATATTCTAGATTTAATGATGCTATGATATAGTTACATTACTTCGATCGTCGTACCAAAAGCTTACCTTCCATTCGTACAAATTTTAATTCAATCTAAATCAATAAGCACTAATTATAATAGCTGAATTTATTATACTTCAAGCGAAGCTGAAACGCCGCTGGCCAACGACGAGCAAAGAAGTAGCGAAACTACCGTTCTTAAATATGAATATGTCGTTTTTTATTACCAGAATTTGGCCCTCCCTAATTGACAATTACATACGAGCATATCTGTGAAAGCAAATGTATCTGTTAAAGTTTTTGTTGTTTCAACAACAACGACACTTATTTTACACACAGCCGTATCGACGGCGGAAATACGTCCATACATCTACGTGTCCACAATATACCTCACAGGCCATAAGACATTTACATTCTATTAAATTATGTTTGCTAAATCGACAATTGATCATCGTTGTGACGCGATGATGAGTCTCCTCATTTTTACCGATGTCGATATACACGCACGCATAGATAGATTGAAGGAAATAAATGTGCCCCTGGGCTTTTTGTTAGTGTGGTTACAACCAGGTTGCGGGGGCAGACTGTACGCGAAAATCATCAGCCGATAGCAGATCATACATCTATCGCACTATCGGTAAACGAGGTATCGCTTATGATTCATCGTCGTTATTTTTTTTTCGTCTGCTGCTGTTGTGGCTCTAAATCTAAAATAGACTCTTAATGATAGCTGTGAGCCGTTAAGCCGATCCCCATTCCACCGTTCTCTCATTTCAACAACGGAAAAAATCCAATAGCGAGATAAATTCAAATTTTTCTGTATGGGCAGCATTCGACAGTTACACAGTGGGGGCTTCGTTCGTTCCTTGAGGGATTGAGCTTGTGTAGCGGCCACAATTCTTGTCATACCTGTAGATTTTATGCCCTTTAACTTTATCTTGCCCTTGATTTGTCGGCAACCGGCCGATCGATTGGCCGGGTAGCGTACTGTGTTGTCAAATACCTCGTTCTTGCTCGAATGAGCCACGTAGGCAAACTGCAAGCGACTAGATATGGGACATCACATGGACTTTATGTGATGCCTTTTTTGCACTTTTCTTATGGTTGGCTTTTTCTTTTAGAAAAGCTAAAATCTAACATGTTGCTGTTTTATATGACAACTTACAGACAGCTTCGCACGTGCCATTGCACATATTTCACCGTGCAGTATATATATGTATGTACTGATATTGCGCATGCGCTATATTCCATAGCTCACCAATCCCCGCCATTTAGAATACCTTCCAAAATTACGTGGTTGTATAGAAAAGCTAAAATCATTTTACATATTTTGACGAGGAAACCACCATGTGAAGCCGACATAGTCAGAACGGTAGCGTATGTCAATTCATGTGTTACCTACTACGCCCTAGATTAATTGTAGACGCTTACAAGTAGGCTATGATGAAATGAAATTTCTTCTCAGCCAAATGGATTATATGGTATTCCTTTCCGGCTGATTAGGCTCGTACGCACCTTCACCGTATTTAATTGTGCGCTGGATGTCTTCATTCGTATGAAGCATCTTTTCATCTGGGAACGCCAATGCACGCCTTCTCGGCCAACAATCAACTGCTCTAAAAGCTTTAGCATAGAGATATCGCCATCTTCAATGCCATTTTCGTTCTATTTAGCGTACCGATTTCTGATTGATCCTGCTCGATTGATGCGAGTCATACAAAAGAAGACAGCATAGCTGACTTCTTCAACGCTACAAGAGCCATCAATGGGAACTGATTTAGCAAGATGACCGTTTGCCACTCCATTGTGTGCTGTTTTCCGCGGACTATTATACAAAGCGTATTCTGTAGCTTCGAAGCGAACACTTAGTTAGGATTTCGGTGATGCCAGGATTTCGCAAAAGACAAAAGTGAAATCCCTGCTTTGGTCCGCATGCCGTATGACAGTCCACTTGCCATATCTTCATGTAAAGTATACGCACACACGAACGCGTATTTATACCGCACATGCGAGACATATCACCGTGCACTAATCATCGTCATTTTTTCTGTCGTTCATACTTTCTAAACCATGTGGCTGTATGCGTTAATCTTTGGCAATGGTCTGAATGACGATGTCGATACGTTGAAAAGGGAGGGTACTTCTGTAAATCTGCATGTACATGACATCCAATAGACGTACATGCATTGTGCACGATACTTTTTGTCGTTGGCACATGGTCGGTCACTCTCGTTTGTTCTTGCTTTACATATAGATTCCTTCGCCACGAAATCACCACTCGACATCACCACGACTCATCCCTGGCTTAAGGTAGGCCTATGGATTATTCGGTTACGAAGCGGAGCATAAGAGGAACACACGAAGGCATTTTTGAGACAACCGGCTTGCATGGAACGATACAGAACTCAAGATTTTCAAGATATGGTCTTGACATAATTCACTGAATTACTTATCGAAGATATTTTGTTGCATTAAGTTACGCTGGCAAAGACGATACATTTCCTTTAAGGAATAATCATCCGTACTGTTTATAAAGGTAATCTCCCTTTGATTGTCGGTGTATTTACCAAAATTTAGATATTTCCACAAAACAAGTTCGTTATCTTCTCTTTTATCGGCTCGGGATTGAAGTTCTTCTTTATAGAGTCTGTTGTTGATTCTAAGACGGACGCCCATGTTCAGAAAAAATAGCCACTCTAAATTGTAACTGAACAGTCTTCGCACTCGTATCTTTTTCAACAATAAGAAGTACTAATAAAATAATTGAAACCAACATCTTTTGAAATGCAACCTTGCTTTGTTTTCCAGTTCACCATATTTCTCGTTAGACCCTTTCTGTTAGATTTCCATCCCACATTTTCTCTAAGGGTCTGGTGGTCGAGGTGTGTTTGCGTGGTCTGCTTGAATCTAGACCTGGTGAGTTGGTCTATTCTTTGCTATGTAGCGTACTCAGTCATCGGGTAGTCATTTTTAGGTAACTATTTTAGTAATTGTGCTTTCTTTGTTTTGAGGTAAATGCTGCTATTTTAGTTGAGTAACTTTATGAAACGGCCCAGTGCCGATCAGCATTTGTCCATCAACGTTGTTTGTCATCACCATTGGGGGTAGCATCATGACCATCATCACCATCGTCTCGTCAAACAAACTCGATGCTTCTCGTAACAATCACTGATGCCCGGTCGAAGCTTCATAAGCAGACAATTCAGAAGTGTCGAGAGCGAGTCGATAATGTAACTTCAGTTGATTCATTATAAGTTGAAGTTAGGAAGTTGTTCGCTTGTTGTTAGGATGGGCTGTGATACTATTGTACGTTTGGAATTGTTGTTGCGGTGGATTTTCTGACGAGAAACCGATCGACCATCAGCGAGTGATTCGTTATTACCGATTTACGTAAAAGGATAAGGCACCGAATGGCGCTGCTTCCGCTTATACGGATGGCTTGCGCAAACAATAATAATACCGGTAACAACTCTTGATTTGAAACGAAGCCAGTCAGAATTATGACAAATAACGTCACGCTAAAGTTCTGGATTGGTTGTTCTCAGAATTTGTAAGGGCCTGTATTCTACATATTTAGAAAAAAAATTACCTAAGTATAGCTGTTTTAACTATAGCTAGCTGGGCTATTTGTTAATTAGTAATGCTGATTGACCTTTTTCGGGCATTTATTTTCTTCTCGTTGGTGGGAGAAAATTCGAGTGTTTTCGGCGAAATAATTTTGAAGAAAAAAAGTGCTAGGCAACTATCAAGAAGATAAGTAGTTTTGCATGTACTTTTTTAAAGGATGGTGTAATTAAAAGTATCACTAACTGGATCCAAAAGTTTCGATGTCCGATTTGAGGTCAGACTGAGTAGGGGGCATTTTTTTGGTCGGCAGCTGCTATGCACATAATATGCGTATAGTATGCGCTATGTAGTACATAAAGAACGAGCTTCGCTTTGAGAAAATTTTGCGATAAAGATATCTTGATGCCTACAACGCAGACATGTTGTGGCGTTATTTCCTTATTATAATTATTATTTAAGGGAATAATGCTATAGCACAGCTTTATGAAGAAAATTATTGCAAAGCCAATGTCTTCACGCACACACGAACCACATAAAGACACTTACATTAATTTCATATAAAATTGAAATCTATCGTGGTTTTGATAGGAGCTTCTCTGGCTAACCACAAGCGATTGATCGTGTCTTCTCTTAGGCTCATCACTAGAAAATCAAAGCAACAACAAAGGATCATAGATTTTTCTGTCGAGTTTATATACGATAGCACGATCAATGTTTAAAAATATCTTTCCTGTTATCGTTATAGCGTTGAAGTTTCAGCCGAAACCCGGTATTGTTGTCGCGAAACAATTATATTACGTTTAATAGAAAAAAAAAAACATGGATTTCGCCACTTCATTATCAGTGATCGCTGAACAAAGAAGAGAAAAAAAAAAAAAAAAAAAAAACGCCTCCGATCGCTTTTCCGAAAGCAAACTAATCGAAATATCATATTTTCTTTTTTTCAAATATCAAATTTTTCTTTTTTTCAAATTAAAAATGCGTTTTGATCATTCAAGTTTCCTACACTTTCACCTCGACACGGTACTGCCCATACAATCTTCGTCATACAAGATCATAAACATGGCACAGTTATTGAGTTTCGGCCAAGAGAGCCCAGATATCTGTACTTACCAGTAAAATCAGCGTTGAATAGATGCACCTCTTCTGCATCGTGGGCCTTCTCACTCGATACGGCTATTTTTGCCGTACGCCAGAGACCACAACGGCGATTTGAACTGTAACCTTAAAATGCACTATCATTTTTTGTAAGCGTAAAACGTATACATGCATGTATGCCAAAAGAATATTAATGACAATTAAACCAGCCTTTTTTTTTGGCAATAAGTATTAACAATTACTTGATTTTACTGCAGATATCTGTTTTATTACACATTTGATAGGGCTTTTTCATTTTTTCTTGCGATTTTCGTTTTTAACAGCATCTGCACATTATTGTCATGACGCGCGGGCATACATACCTTAACGACAATCTTACCGAAAGAGTATTGTGGAATATCTTGTTCCTTCAACAGACCTGATGCCAATTAACTTTTTCCTTTGGGAATAGTTCAAAGATGAAATCTTCGCCAGAAAACACTCGAAGATTCGGAGGCTTATCGAGCTCGTGAAGCAATAGCTCGTCGTTGTTACTAGCGTATTGACCAGAACGCTAACAACTGACCGTCTGCAGTAGAAGGTTGTGCATTTTATGTAGACTGATTTAAATATAGTTATGTAAAAGTTAATATCGTGGCATATTTTTATGAAACTCGGTATATTGTCAAGGACTAAACCGATGGTTGGTGCTTGACAAAACAAGTGGCTAACGCTTTGATACTCTAACCGCGTCCACCCTTATCTATGCCTGGTCGACCAGTGTAAAATACGAAAAAAGTTAATATCATCGGCGAAAATGATGTCATTTGGCGGCACTTTTTTTTGTGTTATAGATGCGCTCATACTCGATCATAATCGTCATTGGTACTTTTCGCTGGCCAATTCAGAAAATTCGACTGATTCAAGGGCATCATAGGACACTTGCCGATCAACTTTATATTCGGTCATAGGACCTACTAGTAGAAGCAGCGTAAGCCTTCAATTATTTCGGACTCAAAAGTGAAGCTCATTGAAAGCCATTGGCAAAGATGAATAACGGGGTGTTGAAAACTCCGCTATTAGTTCATTCAGCTATGCGAAAGAGCGCTGCTGTTAGCACTCAGATTTTACGTATACAAAATACCATACCCGTTCGCTTCGGGCAAATAGTAAGATAAAAAAAAAAAAAAAAAAAGTTTGAGCGGCGCTCGACAGCGGCAAGGAAGTGCTTCCCTTTGCTCTCGCGCTACATTAGCGGCCTATTCTTGACAGCTAAAGCAGTGACTTGGTAGTCAAGATTGATCGTCTGCAACGATCGCAGGCAGTCGCGTCAACGGGTGACTAGAACTGAACAGCGTCCTATGGCAAACGCGCAACCACGAAAAGGCTCTGCGGTTTCAGATGAAGTATGTTGTCAACAATCGGATGAGATGATGAGCTAACATCGATGGACAAAAAAAGTGAGCCAGTTTTTATTGCGCGACGGTGTCGGCGGCTTCACAACAGTGAAAATCACGCTAGCAAAAGTACAGGAGTTACAGTTGAAGGTGCTGTTATTCGTTGTAGTTACCAGACATGAGCCCAGTGATAACCATTTCTATAAAATTTCGATGACTCCTTAGAAAAAAATTGTTCGAATTTAGACATGATGTCGAAATTACTTTCAGTATCATCACACTCGACCCTTTAAAGCAGTGCAATAAGTAATCTATAAGTTACTGTTACCTAAATGGCAGAAAGTTATAGATATGAATGAGTTGGATCGAACAAAATACTCAACATATAGTTGCATATAATTAATGTTTACAATGCAAAAGGAGATATTCAAAATAATTACCGTTCCGGTCAAGCTTCTACAAATTGAGGTTAGGACGCATTCTTGTTTGTATTTCTTTCGCGCGCAAAAGTGACTCGCTAAATTATCATCCGAGTCTAGAGAAATGTTTGGATGCTCACTATAGTCCTACATCATAGTTGCTCTCTCCTGTTAGACACAAGGTTTAAAAGATCTTCTCGAATGGATCGTGAAACAGATCCTCGTAGTAACTTCCAAGTCCAGTTTTAGTAAAAGGACGATCCAGTTATTCCTACATTTAGAGTAACGCGCCATACTCTCGTAGTAAATCAAAACTGTGTTCCCTCGCAGGAGACAGATTTACTGTCGCCCGGTAGATAAAATGACGTCAACTGATCGTGCCGCTTAATTCAAACGTGCTACATTAATTACATCCTTATCAATACTATACACTATTGATGGAATATACTTACGATGTATTAAAATGCGCAACGGCTTGCTCTGAGTGGTTCATACGAACTTCTATGAGTGTTTTGCCATGGTCACCTAATTGAAGTCGTTTGACGAACGGTTAGCATGGCACGTAATTACGATGTCGTGTCATAGGTCTGTTGGAGAAATCCCAATACGTTCAGCAAGATCTTCTATAAGGACAAGTCCTTGGCGCTATACGAAATAGATGATCGCAAAAACTTCTTTATACCGTTGGGCTAGCTGCGGTAGGTAACTAACAAATATGTTTAGGTGCGATGAGCACCTAATTTGCTGACGCCAGACTCACTTTCCTTGAAGATTTTTCTTGCCTCACAGATTGTTCGGTACCCTTGCTTGTGTAGTGAGACCCATTTGATGTTTCTGGAGTTCTGGAATGTTGCCAATGAGCAGTTCCGTTCGTTTATACGGCTCAAATCGCACAAATGGAGCTGTCTAAAACTTTTTCCCATGTTCCCCCAGTGATTCCCAATCAATTACACCAAAGTTACGAATATGAGTCATCAAGTAGATAGATATGCTTAATGAACAGAGATGAAGTTGTGACAAAACGAACAATTACAGCCGTGCCCTATGCAGCAAAAAATACCTAAGCGGTTAATAACTGTTATTCAGAGTCGCTGAATAACGGGACTCCCATATTTCCCTGATAATTGTCACGTTTTAGAATTCCTCACCCTTATGCATTTGGCGGTGCCTGACTGTTTCTATGTCATACGAATGGTATAGACACGTGAAAAAAAGCACACCAATTGAAATCTATTGCTACAGCTTTAGATGGCATTACTAAGATAAATCGTTCTTATGCTGTCACTAATGAAAGCTTTTCTCGCGCGTGAGGCTCATGTATTGTATATAGTAACAAAGTCAATGTTGGGGAGACGTTTAATTATATCAGAACGTAAGAACAGCAATTATGAGTCTAAGAAAGAGGTAAATTTAACTTACGTACTGAATTATATCGCTAAAGGAGCTGGTGTAACAAAATGAAAGGTGTCAAGGTAACAGCAACTACGCAATGAATTGTTGTTCGAAGGTCAATAAATCGGTTATTTTTTATGTTACTATTTACCTTCTAGATATATGATGCTATTTTCAGTTAAAGCCTAGAGAAGGTATTAGCTTTTGAGACGCACGCATCCGTCGCCGACAATTACATAAAAAAAAAAAAAAAAACAACACACGTTTAAACGGACAATCTATCTTTTCTTAATTCTTTATACCGTTTGCCATGTTTTTCCTAAACTATTCGAGACTTTCATTCCTACTCAACGTACGTGCCTTTTTAAAACCAGTAATTACATTCTAGAATTAGGCCTGAAACTGTATGTATTCACAGGTCTATCGTGGATCTTAAACTCTGACAGGCTAATGTTGATGGTCAACTCGCTGACCAGAATCATTATCGGTTCCGATCGATGAATAGAATCTCTAAAAAAATCACGCAGTAGGGCTAATGGCCATTGTTTACGAACGTCTTTTCCGTTCCACCTGTACTGATCTCAGCGGAGCCGAAGGTACCATACGAGACTTTGCAAGCAATTTTCATTTATCATTTCTCTTGCAGCATCCTGCAAAAGACATAGCGTCCAAACCAAGCACGTATTTGGTAAAACGTTTTTTTGATGCAATAATAATCACTATAATACAGCCGTAGTAATACAGCTATCGTATCGTAACGCACTGACCATCGTTGGAATATCGGCCTGTTCCACCCATCACACTGCACACCGTCCTTTGTACCGCGTTTACTGAAGTCTGTAAAGCAACACAGGAGCCCAGCCTACGAACTCAACAGTCTTTGGCCCAATAGCGATTGATAAATTCAAATACTACAGCTTCAATATTCGGATGCAGTTCCAGACACTCAAATAGGCCTCTCTATTTTTTGCGGTCAGCTGGCACAGGCCACGCGGCGATGACTAGGGACATCGCTGTCGGTTTATATGGCCGAAGTCGAATCAAGCCGTGCCACCTTTTCTCGGCAAAATTTCTTATAGATCTTATTTTCTTTTATGGATCGAATAGTCAATAAATTATATTATTTTGCATTTGTATCAGTAAACGGTAGCCGTAGCAGTGACTAATCCTGTTCATATAACTACAGTTCTTCAAGGTGAATTCAATAAAGACAGTGCATCATCCCTGCAGGAAGTTAACCATATTTTTTTTTACTGTGAAAAAATACCATGTGCTTTATTCTTAAGCTATCCCACGCGAGAACAACGTTGGGAGAAGACGTATTCGAACAGGAACAGCCAGGACTGAAGTGATTTACAGCTTTTCCTGTGCTATATTATAAAAATGAGCATTACGTCACCGTGATACTTCGACAGCAGTCGTAAGCGCCCTGAACTTATTTGTCTAACAGGATCGCCGAGCGTGCAAATTCGAGCGTACAAAAAACGTAGGGAATTTGTTAGTTAGGGGAAAAAGGTGTTCACTGTAGTTTTGCGTAGAAGGATCCAGGCGGGGACGTCGAGTAACGCTGTTTGACACCTGGCGCAAAACCGGTGAATCTAAAAACTTCAACCTTTAAACATTAAGTAAAAACGGATACAGTGATGATTACTTGGCTTTATTAGATATATGAAGGACGCTTCCATGGCTTACCTTGGCTGTCAGTGTGCTATAAAAAAAAGCCAGCTTATCTTCAGTAGCTAACAACGATTACACACGTGTGTATCTGTACACATTATGACAACACTGATTTTTTGCTGCAATTCTTACGTACTATTGTCATCAGACTATCATCTTCATGACTTCCTGCTGGATGCTATGGGCGCTTTAATGCGGCGTTTTACGGCTCACATTGATTTGGCCTAAAAATAAGTTTGCGGTAGCCATTGTCCTGATTAAGTGGCTATTGACAAAATAATTTTATGGCGTTCAGATTACCTAATGCGCCTTGTATTATTCGCGTGGCTCAGGATCTTCAATGACGAAGAACTGCTGAGCCAAATGCGTTACGAAACACTGGGACGGACGGCCGGCCGGACGGATTTTTACTATGTAGAACCTGCAAGGCTCACTGCTTGGCCAAATCTAATACTAGAAATTCTAGTTAAAAGGAGAGTTGTTGACCAGGAATCATTGAAGAGTTGACGCCGACTCCATCGAATGCGGTTGTGCTTGTTCTCTGTCTAGGTTATGCGTATAGCACTGCTTGAATGAAAATGGTGACAGAGTGGTAACAATTGGTCCTGGTCCGCATTGTTCATTGCTTTTGTAACAACATATATTGCTGGCAAAGGACTAACGTAAGTATAGTTCAACAACTCTAATTAGATCTTGCTTAAATTTAGCTATTTTTGCTGATCTTTAATTAGACGTTAGCAAAACAAGACGCGAAACCGGGTTTCGAGATAAACCTTATACGTCATATCATAATTTTGCTCAGACGTGGGCGAATCGCAGGCCTTTAACGTGTATTACCGCATGCTTGCTTAATTTTTGATCATCTCCTTTTCAGTCTACAGTCAGGCCTCGGTGGCTTTGTTGGCCCCTGCATATTTGCGTCACAGAGTGTAAATCTGCAGTACAATTGTAAAAAAAAATGTCACTATTCGCTTTAATCTGTAAAATACGCTATCGTAATTATGGATAATTAGAGTAAATTATATATTCAATTCACTCTCACAGAGCTGTGCAATCGTTTAGTACAGTATTTTACATTCGAAAGAGAATAATAAACAGAGAAATAATAACATTAGTAAAGTGTAAGTATCGATAATTAAAGAAAAAAATCAAGCTCTTAATTACGGAAAGAGAAGGCAGCCCAACATGCGTAGCTACTTGCTTCACTTTAAAGTTGTAGTAGTTGTATCATGTAGAAACGGCTCACATGCCTATAAAAACATTACAGTTTCACTTAATAACACCTAGGAAACGACGGGTACGGTTTAGTTAACGTTCTCGAATTCGCTCAATATAAGTGGCCTTCTCAAAAGTTACAATGTTAAAATAATAACATTGTATTGAACGCGCGACAATGGACTGGTATTTACTCCTACTAATCAGCAGGCACAGTCGGATTCTATTCTTTTCGTCTAATGCTGTACTAAATTCCGTCCGCTACCATGGCCTGAAAACGCATAAAATAATCCAGTCCAGTAAATCAGGCAACCCAGACAATGCATCCCTTGGCTGCTTTTAACGATCATGGGTGAAAGGTTGATGATTTTTTTTTTCGGGATCGTTTTCGTCAACGTCTCTCTCATTCTCGAAAGGCTATTTTGACAAAAACCGATAGAAACCACGACGCTTCGTTGAAGAGAACAGGTAATGTTTGCTATTACAATAAACGCATGGAAGCTATTTACAAATAGTAGAAAGATAGCTCTCGGCCTTCTTCTTTTATTCTATGGACAGAAAATTTACGTGTGAATTAGTATATACAGGGTTTTTAGATATGTAATATCTGAAATTATCCGAATATATTTATTGGAATGGATGAGGCACTAGAACACATGTACTTTATTAAATTATTTTACCAACAATTTTGCTGGAACGGCAGCCTTTAATGATTTGTGTAGCACACGACTTTCGCACAAATGTTCTTCTATGAATCATACGGAACTTCTATATGAAGCTGATGTTTCAACTTAAAATTTAATGGAAAGCAAAACAAAAATGCCAGCCGCTTTTTGTAACTGAGTCCGACTTAATCCTCAGAAATACAAGACGCATAAAAGAACATTTGTATAGGAGAAAACTGTTGCACAAAACATCAACGGTTGTCGCTCAACTGAAGTTTTTGGGAAAAAATTAGTGCTTCATTCAAAATGCGGTGACAGTTATCAGGAGTTTTCTGTACGAATCCTCTAAACGATTTTTAGTAAAGGAGCCTAAGCTTCTAACTGATTGTCTCACAATTCTGTAAGAGTAGTTTTAAGGAAACGATAGCATTGTCATAACATTACATATTTCTAGAACGGTAAGCCTTTTTGTCGAAGGTCCACTGATCAATTCAACAATTTACTGGTGCCTGTAGCGCCTCACACCAGAGAAGCGATGAACTACCGAAATTTTCTGTTCGCTCGAACCCACGGCACAAATAGTTTATCTAGTCAATTTGTCAAGAACTCAAATTATTGTCAAGTCCTTGGTCATCATTATATTTAGGTCGTACCTAAAATCAATGTGTATCTTCCACTTAGTTGATTGGATTATGTCTGCAATGCGATTCTGGGACCGTTGATTATACCGCTTAAATTCATAGAATTTGCTTCTTCTTTTTGAAAAACTGCTTTTTTAATAAGTTAATTTTAATGGTCGGCTTTTTAATGAGCTAGGCCGGCTGGCATTGTATTTAGCGTCGCTTGCATTCGACGCGTGCTAGTACTGTCCTCTGAATTTAAATTTTATACTTAAAAGCAAAAATACCCGACCGGGTCTAGCCCCAGCGAGTCTTATTTATCTATCTATTAAAATTGGACTAGCTTTGAAAGAAACCTTACTGAAAAACTCAGTGCACCAGTGCCGTAGAGCTTAGCAAGTCTATTGTAGAAACAATAATGGTACATTTAACGCACCTTTAGCATCGTGTGGGAGTGTACCTTTTGAAGCGTCAACTTGACAATCAATAGAAAGATTGCAGCACTAAATTTCAAGTAAATGTCGGCCAAAGACGCTTCTAACTTTTCCATTGATAAACTCTATCGGACAGAAGATGAGAGTAAAGCTAACGATACTAGGTTCTCCAAGAAACTCTCGTATGATCTAGGAGAGATGCGGGAAGACGGTATATTTTTGTCCGTGTCCTCGAAGGCAGTATGTGAAAAAAGTCTGAGATTTGCTTCAGCGAGACAATGTAGTATCCCTACAAATTGGCATAGGTGTTTTTCAACATTACTAATCGTCTTGGGCAACTGTTTAATCAAAAAATGGCACTTTCTTTCTGGGTCCTCAGTAGCAAATAGATGCATTGACGCAAGTGCTCCTTCGACCCGACCCGAATCGGTTAGAAGTTAGATAACGGAAAAGACGTTTGTTCCTGCTTACGGGCGAATTGAAGGGATGTATTAGTAAGTGTATATTCAATATTCCGCAATTGGATTGGGTGCAACGTTTTTAGAAGAGTAAGCTAGAATACAATCATACGCATCTACGCAGCGTTACTTACCTGCCTAGATTAGATGGCCGCTTTACGGCTAGTCAGTCTGACAATCGTTTATGTCCAGCAGAAACATCTATATATTTTATTGGCAATTCACCTTTTCGAAGAAAGACTCACTGATGTGATCCGACTCGTTGTATCGCAACAAATGATCCAGTAAAGCTACTTGAACAAGAAGCACAAGCAGTATCAAATCAAGGACACATTCAGTAATAGTTAGTTCGAAGCCTATGGCGAACGATTTTAGGACTCACTCATTAGAGACTCATTGTAACTTTTGAAGGAGGAGCTGCGTCCACGACTGCGACTGATCATTAGTATATACAAAATCGAAGCCGACACTATCGAGATCCGGCTCGAAACGGCAGAGCTAAACGAACTGGTATCGCCTTGAGTAGTTAATAGCTGACCTGGTTATTTTACCGATTGTAACCGAATTTCAGAGTAAAAGCAGCAATGCCACCGGCTGATCGCGGTGTTGCAGGTGTATCGTGGAAGCCCCTGTAACGTGTCAAGCGTTAAGTTAAAACCGTGCATCGGAGAAGCCCTCCAAACAAAAAGAGAAAGAGAAAGAGTAAATGGGTGATACTGGGTAAGGGTAGGATAAACACACACATACACACAGACACGCACAAATACACAGACATACTTTCACCGTATTACAATATGAGTTACCCACTCACATAGTGATAATTTCCCTTCCTAGCATTACATTACACTAAAATGTAACTTTGTTAGAGCAGAAAACATGAAAGAAGAGCAATAGGAACGGCCAACCTTATCTAAAAAAACTTGCGTCTACATAACCTATTAAATAAACAACTCAGTAGTCTCTAACCGTGTCTGCTTCTCTGAACGCAATAATAATAATAATAAAATCAGTTATCTTTAGGTTCGTAAAATGGAATCGGTAATACTTACCATGGTTCACATTGAGATGTAGTATTACTCGCGAATAATTAGACCCCTCAAATAAAATCCTTTCTCTTAAAAACCTCTGTGTCTCGTAGTCTAGTCCAGTCGTGATGGATAATCCTATGAGAAACATCACTCCGCGCTGGACTGCTTTTCCACTTCTCCCCTGTAAAAACAGCAGCTCTCTATTATAGTGCTTCGCGCCGTAGCTACCAACATCGACAGCTTCCGAACCAAATCTAAAGTAAAACACATGTTACATAAAACAGTTTCAGTTTCAGTGTATATAAATATACACACGACGAACCTGCCCTAGTTCGTCTCGTCTCAGTGGCCGCGATAAGATAGCTGGCGATTTAGATACGTTATTGATTCGATACGTTGAGTCATTGGACGGTGTCGTTAAATTTAGCGTCCGATCCTGTATTGAATAGGTGCGCAGAACAGCCTGAACGAACATCACGGGTAACCAGACCGACTGACCAGATAATACTGCAAGCACGACCGTATTTGTGGGGCCATGTCGATTGTAGCTCGACAGCGTGTCTGTGATATAGCCATGCTCTGTTGTTTACCCACAAAGAAAACTAGTCACCCCAAGGAGAAACTTCGGACGGGTTGTGTGTGCTACACAATCACTGCCAGGGGAGCTGGGGTCAAGTTCGTGTTCCGTAAGTTCCCTAACTTTGGAAAAGCACGTAATTGTCTAATTTCGAATACTCAGTGAGATTCATATCAGAGAAAACCTACCCTCAAAGGTTTATCCATTCAAGAGAAACTACCGGTCGCTGTTGAAGCAGACAGAGTAGGTAAGAGTTCTTAGGTTGCTTAAACAGTTTCGCCATTGTTGCTTTTACTGAAACGAAGCAGACTGGTTTAACCTGGTCGTTGGCTGGCAGACACGAGCACCTTACACCCACTCGATGACTATATATATATATATATATATATATATATATATATATTAGTGCGGGCAATGCTATATTTTATGTTTGATGGTCTATTATTGCTGTTGTCCTATAGAACTTCGTGCCTTCTTTTATCGCTCCTAAACGGTGAAATAGGCGTCGCAACATGCGTATCAGAAACTTCACAAGAGTAAATCATGCATCTTTTAATACTCTTTGATAAATGTTTGATCTTTTAAATTTTTCATAGCACTTCTAAACGTTTATAAGTTAGTGATTAACGATATGATGAAGTTATAATGTAGTCGGAGAGATAATCTCGAAGAAGGCGAGGGGGGAATCGCCCTTTCTATCGTTATGTAAATGACACGTTGACGACAATATACCTATGGACTGATGTCTGTAGTATACCGATGTTGATCATCACTTCGTTCATAATATCGAGAACATGGTTTTTCTCGATTAGAAACAAGAGTATGAAGCTGAGCTGTCTGATGGCGTCCCTTGGGTATCAGAATAAGATACTGGCTTCTGTGCGATTTCGTGAAATTTACGTAGATCATATTTACTTCCAGCATTTACCATAGGTCTTCCTTCGTACATCGAAAAAACCAGGGTTAATGATATAAAATAGAAATGAATTCAAGGTCTGCTGGCCGATATAGCAAGTCTATAAGTAAAGTATCACAAGCGCAAAAAGAACACTCTAATTCTCTCAATGGATATATATTTTCGTGTTCAAGATAACCATGTTTTATTAAATAATTTAGGTGGTATCATAGTGTAGATATACTGGGGTGGTGGCAGCAATGCATTTTCAAGAGGCCTTTATCTTCACGAAGCTTCAAGTGAAAAGCTAAGTGACACCCGAAGGATAACTGGGTTGAGGAAAGTAGCTATACTAAGCCTCTCCTCAATCGTGAGCGACCATCGATAACTAAGGTACTAATGAACCTAGGAGAGCTGATTTCAAAACCAGAGATGAACCACGTTTCGAACATTCAACAACGGCTATTTTCGCAGAAAACCTATAAAACAGTGGATTCGTTTTGATGTGGCATCAACGATCTACGTCCGCAAGCTCGCATGCTGGTAAAAACATTATATAGGTATAGTATATAGATATAGAACGTTATTCATATAAAAAGTAAGCTCCATACATCTTTGATAGATATGACATGAGCTGCTAATTTACAGACTTAAAGTAAAGCACTTTACTTAGAGACCTGAAACACTGGAAATTTGATGTCAAAATCCTTCCATTACATTAAGAGATCCTCGAATGCATCTAATTATCTATATACGCTTTATTATATATATAATACGAATAAAAGAGCTTTTGCGAACTCTCCTAAAAACGAGCATGAAATATTTGCTTGCACAAATGTTTCGCTTAACTAACGACTATTACCGATAGATAGATAGATAACTGTTTGTTCTCCTTTGAGTGAAGTATTAATTAAATTAATTACCAATTAGATATAATATTGGGAGAAACGAAATTAAAACAATTTTTTTTTTTTTTATGAACTTCACACGTGCACAGATTATAGCTTATTAGTAATGTCCGTTAAATAGCCTCTGGAGCAGAAAAGCGAAATTTGTATGAAGCTCGGATCGGTCGAAGCAGTAAAATTAACGTACGGTAGTTTACGCGAAACAAATAATTTGCATTGTATAGTTAAATATGCTCTTTTTTTTTGCAATAATCTGCGTACATTTTAGTTTAGTTTAACAGACATGGAATGAAAACTATACTTGCCAAAAAAACTACATATATATATGGAGAGTCTCTGTTTGGTATTTTATATATATATATATATAAACAAGGACTCTCAGATTTTCGAAAGACTTACACTACGCTGTATGCATATAGGACGACGCGTCTAAAATCGGATAAAGTACAGTTTATGTTATTGCGAGCTTCGCTGGGGTGCTAAAAATTGAAAATTTTCAGGAGACAAAGTCGCAAACGTTCATTATGGTTTCGATTTATTGGCTTGAAATAATGCAAACAGCCATCTAATGATTGGCCACTGGATTTTATATATATATATATATATATATATATATATATATAAGCGATTATTTTCGAAAATATAATACCTATTGCCGACAGAGACGTGTAGCTCTTTTGAGAGCTATTGCTGTTTTTGGCCGGTTTCTTGTAAACCTTTACATTTTTAGGCCTGCTATTGGTACAAATTGTAGTTCTGCTGTCTTTTTTGTGTGGAGCGTATTTAAGTAGTACTTCTTGACATACAGCCAGTGTTAAAACGTTCTTTATGCGTTAGAAAATAACTATTTTGAAAATGACAAAGAGGTGATTTAGGTCCCGAATTGAAACTGCAATGAGTATGACCATCGAGAATAAATAGTATTCAATGTTTAGCGTATGCAAAAAAATTCGTTGAAATATCCGTATTTGTTTAAACAGACTGTCGCAAACAAAGCATAAGATACGATTTCTTTCAAAGCAAAGCAGCGTTTGCTGTCAACAACGGCCAACGATCTCAATTCTATTTTAAATTGCAGATCCCTGCAAAAAAGGAAAAAATATATATATATATATATATATATATATATATATATATTGAGGCCTCGTTCGTTAGTAAAATACGGTACAAGGATATTTCATTATTTTTTATATATGCTAGAATATAGACGGTTGTTCACCGTAACCACAGTTACAATCCGGGACCAAAACCGCTAACTGGTCATTTTTAAAATATCCTCTTTTAACTTCGCAAATAACTTTTTTAAAATCAAGCGGTATTAGGAAAAGTAGACTAGCCAAGGTGAGGCTCAAACAAAAATCCGATGAAGTAAATTTTTGGGTTGATAGCAACCTAAAGCTGTCAAATATGCAAGAGCAAACAATAGCCAAAACGTACAAGGAGCTTTAAAAAGACTAACCGTTAGAGATACTTTGAATGATTCATCCAATTGACAACTGATATTTTCCTCTGCAAAACGATCGCTAATTTTTGTCTTTTTAAAATGGCATTCTGAGCAATTTTGATGAATTTTTAAGCAACTTTGATAAGGATCCTTTCCAAAAGCTTCATAGCAATTGGCAAGGGATTTCGGACAAAAAATTGAGTTTTTCTGTGTGGCGAAGAGGGTGTCCAGCGCAAAAATATCGAACTATAGCTTATGTCGATTTAAATTATTCAAACAATTTATTGTTTGATTCTGTGAAAAAAAAAATAGCCTTTTTTGCTAATAACAAAAATGCACACCCGCTGCAATAAACGGATGCTAAGGTTTGTGTCAATTTAATGTAAATGGCACATTTTTTATATGTACGAAGAAAGACGACATAAAGCAGGCTTGAGTTGAGGCACTATATTTGTAAAACTTTATACTGGGTAAACTGTTGTTAGTCTGTGCCATGCTTGTCAGTCACTCTGTGTAATGTCACAAAGTGAGACCCAGTTAAAATTGCCAGTCTGCTTTAAGTTTACACCAATGTTTTTCTCTATTATTTCTCTGTTGTAATTACTACTTATTTGTCATCGGGCAATATATTGAGATTTAGTTGTATATGCAACAGCCGAACCGTGGATTCTGCTAAATTTGCAGTGGTGTGTATATGTTGATTGGTTTAATTCGTATTTTCTTTAAAATTCAAGTATATTCAGAAGATAACGGTAGGGTGAGTCGCCCGCTAAACTTAAGGGAAGCATAATTGTCTGGGTTCGGATTCGGGCGTAGACACACTTCGTAGTAGCCAACAATCTGATGGAATGCCTAACGGCAAACCTAAATCTAGGAACATTCAATTTAGGTAAGGTAAATAAACTGAGGCACCTGTGACCGTGCGTTCCATGTTTTTATGAGTCACCATCATCGCTACACAGGCACTGCAATTTTCGTGGAATTATGTTGCTTGCTAGTCTATATGACAAATGAATCCAATGAAACGCAGCCATCTTTTTCTCAGAAACTAGAGTCGACACCTAAGATCTCCCACCAGTATATTGTAATACCCTCATTTCGGCTTTTCTTCTCATCTTCTCGGTAGCTTGTTCAAGCGCTGCTATATTCAATGTCTGTCTTACCAAACAAATTGTCCCCTGCCGCAATTTTTCGTAAACCAACTTTTCGATTTAGACAAAAATAGCTCGCTGGTACCGAAAATAGAGAAGCTGTCTCACACATAAAGTAAGCAAATTAATACCGACTGACCCTATATCATAATGAGAAAATAATATTACCGTTCTATTCGTCGTCGAAATCTGACATTTGGAGAGAAGTTTATCGAACAGATTACACTACAAAACAAAGCGTAAGACCCTAGTTTAATGGAATATGAAGATTACTATCCTAGGACCACGTTGTGGTTTAGGTTTGAACCTGGGCATAGGCAGACTTCGTTTCGTGCTGGGAGCCGGCTGTCGGACAAAACATCTAACGGCGGTACCGGACGTAAAACTCCAAACGAAGAAATAATTTGATTTAAAACTTTACTTTTTTTTTTTGTTTCAAATGGAACAAATACGAACATTTATATTGTACTCGTTTACCTCCTGTGTATTGACTGTACTTTTTTAAACCGAGGTGTCACGCAAAAAGCAAATAAGCGGTACGAGACCGGTAAATACGAAGTCTTTACAGCCAGCACCGGAAAAAATAAACTACTATTGCGCTAGGATAAAATGTCTTGGTGCATGGAATTGATGACAAAAAAAAAATAACTCTTCAAACTGATACAGTAATAACTGAATAAAACAGAAAAGAAAAACAGGAACGATACGCCGTTTCATAAGTAAAAATAGTGGCATTCTTTATAGCGGATAAGAAATTGCTAATAGGGTACTTAAATACGTGAAGCGAGCTTACATGCACGCATGGCTGCGCTGTAAAAAAAAAGGTACCGGAATATTGACAAGCGACAACTCGGCTGGGATGATTGGTTTTTCAAAAAAACTTTACAAGTGAGAGCTGGGAGTACGAGAA